AAGGTCAAGTACCTTTAATGACTCTGTGCCTCTCAGTTTCTGAAAGGAAGTCAGTCCTCCAGAATAGCTTGGGCTGTCCTGGGTAAATGATCCTGTTTTAGTGTCAAAGTGCTCATCCTCTAATCTGCCAGAAAGTGATGGCTTAGGATACATGTGGGAGTTGGAGGGAAGAGAGAAGGAGGTGTTGTGTTTTGTAGGAAGAGTTTACATTCTATGGTAAGGCCTGACTTTTGCCTAGCTTATGAGATAGGTGCTAGTTCTAGCTCTGTTGCCTATCCTCTCTTCTTGCTTTCACCTTATTGTGAAGTGTATGTATTTTGGGAGCCCTCATAGCTCACAATGCATACATTAAGAAAGGTTTGGGAGATCACATGAAACTCAGGTGAGGTTTCTGGCTCTAAAAGATCCTTTGGGCAGTCACCATGATTTAATTTGCACAGAAACTCAAGAAAAAATTAAAGGAGGAAGGTGGTATGGTCTGGCAATTGGTATGAGCTGGTGTTTTTAAGCACAGACTGCTGCTTCCCTTCCTATTTTCCTCCTGAACATCCTGCCCCAGAGGTGTCTCCCAGCAACCATTAGGCTTGTGACTGAGCCTATTAGCCAATCTAAAGAAGCCGAGGGAAATGCAATCCACACAGGCTTGTGCCACTTGTCATGTGAGCTCTGGAGAGAAATGAGAGCATACACCTATCTGAGATAGCTTATGCAAACAAAGGGAATTTAAGGTAAGGATACAAGTTGCTCTTACAAAATCAGACACAGAAACGGCTAAACCTCATGAACAAACGACCAGAGACTCAAACTCTTCTCCTTTGTGCAACTGGTTTCATTCCCCTGCCCCCTTTTCCATGCACAAATATGATTGCTGGGAGTTTCCCACATTGTTTGTTGTATCTCCAGCTACTAGGAAGGACAGCTGATCCCCCAACCCCTTTTCAGTCAGGTGCCTTGCCTTGGCCCAGCTGACTGTGGTCATGAGGTGCAGCCAGAAAACAAAGATAGGACATTAGGCTCCATTCCTTTCATTATGTCGGCTGATGGTGCTTCACAGGAAAGGTGGTGTGGTGTGCAGGGAGGTGTTGAGCAGGTACTGTGAAAGGACGCCACCAAAGAAAGCTCTGTGATATGATTTAACTTGTTTGGTTGTGAACATCCTGAAACATTTGTCCAGTTGCATCTGTGAAGAAATTATGATTGATTGGTTAAGCTGACACTGTTGGGGCCGGGGATTTAGCTCAGTGGTTCCACTGTCTGCCTCACAAACACAAGTTTGTTCTTTCCCGGTACCAAAAAAAAAAGGCTAATACTGTTACAGATTAGGTAACTTCCTACATTTGTGTTTCTACAATTCCAGCACTTGGAGTTAAAGGTTAAATTTGTGTTTAATACCTGAGTTTATATTTTGGAAAAAAATCTCAGATATTTCAAAGACCATCACCAAAAAAATTTATAAAAATGTTAATGAAATCATATACATTTAGTTCCTATAGAGAATGTCCCTCTTACCTTCCTTACTTTGCTGATGAAGAAACAGAACTGAAGTCACAAGACTGTAAAGGTTGTTTTTAGCTGCTTTTGATTTCCATTCTACATGCTTAAAATTTTTCTGCAAATTCTGGAATGGAAAAAAAAATACAACACATACCAATAATGTAGTTGTCAGCTTGTTTTAAAGATTTAGTGTACTCAAAGATACAGTGAAGGAAAAGGATTACTATTAAGTTTTTCACAGCAGAATAGGAATGGTTTATTTCCAGTATCACTATTCATGCTTCAGGTGTATCTATTATCTGTTCAGCTGATCCTTGCAAATTGTCCCAGTTCTTAGACAAAGGCAGTTGATTCATGGCTGTCTTAGAAAGAAAACCTAGTGGGTGTGTTACAGCCACATGAATCATGTGAGATTCTGCTTAAAGCTATATTAATCATGGGTGAAATAATGTTTTCAGGGGAAACTATGAGTCGACTTAAAATTACACAGTTTACCTCTGTTCCAAGGGACTCATCTTTTCAGCATGTTGTTGAGCTATAAAATTACCCCATGCCTTTTAAACTACTTGCACTATGGGAAGAAATTCTCCCAGAGTTGCCAGCAATCATTCCTGAAATTTTGGATTTCTCTTGGAAACTCATATTTCTATCATTATTTTTACTGCATTCTTAAATCCTCTTGATCCAGGGTTATAAGTCTTCTTGGCTTTGTTGCGTATAAACTTAGCTACTTACTGCTTTTCTTTATTGCTTCCAATCCAATCTGTAAACCACAGTCAGGGTGGGATACTTGACCTGCCAATTTTGTTCTCTGCCTTCTCAAGAACTTTTGCTGGCTCCAAATTACTTCCAAGATCAAATTCCACACACTCACCTTGAACTTCAGTGTTTCTTGTTACTTTCTATTCCAGTTTATTGTTAATTTCTAATGACTATCTTTGTCCTTTACCCCCAGAAGTGGAGGATAGAAAGATGGATTCCTGATGTGCTCTAAGAATTTCATGCTGTGTCTGTGCTCTCATTTTTTTCCCCATTTGTTTCCCTAGTGAAGCCTGGTATGACTTCCTTGCAATGTAAGGGCAGAAGTAAACACATGAGTAGTGAAATCAGAGGGATCCAGACCAGCTTTCTGGCAAGAATGTCTTAGGAAGGCTTACCTGTGACTTCTCTTGTCTGACGTTTTCTTTCTTTCTTTTAATCTCACTTTCTCTCCAAACCAGGTGCTATGTTTTTCCAGAACCTGTTTTCCATGAGTATCTTTATCCTTACTGTTTTGAAGTTGGCATTTAACTCTGCTTGTCGTTGCGATTGGACTATGTCTGCAGTGCTTTGTTGGTAGTTGCTTGTTTTTTTACTTAGTCATTATTCTCAGAACTTTGTCATGATCATTTTGAGCCCTCCAGTACTCTGTGAGGCAACCTGCTGTAGTGGTTAAGGGCCCAGGATCTGTAGGTGAACTTGAAGCTCAGAACTGCAATGCAGTTGGCTGTGTGATCAAGGCAAGTTAAATAACATTCTGTGTCTCAATTTTTAATCTGTAAAATGGAGCTACAGTAGTACCTCCTCAAAGAGTTGCTGTGATGTATAATTAATACAAGTATAATAAAAAGTTATTAGTCTCTGCTTAGCTGTTCTGCCTCCATGAAATCTAATCATCAACTGATCTTCATTAAAACTCTTGACCTCTTTTTGGTTAGGTCAGGCCCAGAGCTGAGTTTGTTTTTCTCATTTAAATCTGCCCCCTTACTGTCTTTTATAAAGCCAAACCATTCTTCAGTTTCCATCTCTAGTCCCATAATGTTTTTCTTTCTCCTGCTAACATGGGTAGCTCCCTTTCTGACACAGTATGGATCTTATTTTTCTAGCTACCTATTCTGATGCCAGGCCTTTACACTGATGAGCATTGTCGCTTCATTTTTATATACTCTTTCTAATTTCTCCAACTGAATTTAAAACTTCTTGGGGCTAAGAAACAAATATTAAGCTTTTGAATAGTTCATACTTTCCAGAATTGTAGACATTATTTTCCTGGATGAATTGTTTGAAAAACTAAAATTCTCTGAATGAGCCTAGAAATGTTCTAGAACGTTCTGGTTTCTTCTCTCCTCTCTCTCTCTCTCAGTCTCTCTCCCTCTCTAATTCAGACTACCCTTGAACTCACTGTGTAGCCCACCCAACCCTCTCTGAGTGCTGAGATTGCAGGCTTGCACCACCAAGCCTGGCTGGGGAGTGGTATTCTCCTTAGAAAAGGAAGTTTGTATGAATTTGTCCTGATTGACAACATTGCATGTGCTTCTCAGCTGGAGAAATCTGGAAGCAGGAAGGAATTTCTTGGCATTCCTGTCGATGCCCTTAATAAGATTGTGGGCTTATTAGCAGGCATAGCCTCAAAACTGAAAGAGGGTGTACATGGAAAGGATTATAAAAAAAAAAAATCTGGGTAAGTCATTTGGGATCTAACCCAATAGTTTTTGTTCCTGATTCAAGCTCTGACCCATTGAACAGTTGTCTTTGCCCTTGAGTCTGACCTCTAATGTATGAAGTGAAAATATGGACTAGATCCTTGAAATTTTTCAATAGAATAAAGTTTTTTACTAATCTGAGGATATCATTTTGTGTTTTCTCTTTTTCTTTATACTTTGTTCTATGAGGTTGCCTTTGAGCTTTGAGATGACGATCTTGCTCACTAAACTAATTTCTCCTCCATCTCAACCAGTTGTTTGAAGCAGGAAATTGGAACTTCTTGTTTCTACCTCTTCTTGTTTGCTTCTGTTTAATTCATGAGCAAATTCTACCAGTTCTATCTCAAATATGGTTTCCAAATCTATTAGTGACATGCTCTGCTGACCCACTTCTTTTACCTGGTCTACCACTTTTTCTCAGCTGCAGCCACTTCCTGTTTATTGAAATAACCCTTGTTATTGGTCTCCACATTTTCATGTTTACCTTGCCCAACTATTTTCACCACTGTACTCAGAGTTACCTTTTAAAAACACAAATCTCATCTTCTTGCTTAAAATGGTTGCAGTTTGTGTGTGTGTTTGTGTGTGTGTGTGCGCGTGTGTGCTTAAAATTATACTTTAAATTTTATAACTTCATTTGCCATTGCCTATAAGATACCCTATGGTTGGGTTTCTGCTTATGTCAAGGCACAACCCAAGGCACTTTTCCACTTTACTACAGCCATGTTCGCCTCCTATTCCTTCTTCAAGGGCACCATGTTCCTTTATAACTCTGTCTTTGAGTGTGCCACTCTTTCTGCATGAAATGCTCTTAGGTCTACCTAAGGAGTAATACTTTGTAATTATATTCATGTGCTTTTTGAAAAAAGGAAAAAACCATTAACATATATTGGTCTGTCACAGTGACATATAACAATCAAGCTTACTAGTATAAGATTTGTCAACTATGGTTAATTAAATTATTTTAAATTTTAATTTTGAAAACTTTTATATGAAGCAATAGATATGAAAGAAATTCAGAAAATATTTTTAAAAAGATGTTTGGTGCTTACTTTGCATTACATATACTAAAATTAGAACAATACAGAGAAGATTAACATAGCCCATGCACAAAGATGACACACAAAATCATGAAGTGTTCCATATTTTAAACAAAAAGGATATCTTTGGTGTAATCATAAAAACCGATTACATTGTAATTTCTAGAAATTGTAAAATTCACAATGTGGTTTTTCAGATGAATTATAGTGGCTTTGAAATATCTCATCACTCGAAAAGTTTCTAATGAAATATCCTATCTAAAAAATTAATTGAAATGTTATACTTGGGAAAAAAAACTTCTGAAATTTTTCTCCTACATAAAGAGAAAAATTTCTGAATGATAGAAAGCATTGACATTATCAATTAATTGCTTTAAAGCAGGTATCTAGTCTGGTGAAAATAATTGAAGCATTCAAACGTTGTTCTTTAAAAAGTTTTAGCAGTGTCAGGCCAGCATATTTTGTTGTTGCTTCCAATATTTAAAATGTGCATCTTTTTTCCTATGTTAATATCCATTTTCTTACATTTTTTTACATTGCATATTTATTTGGCTTCTCCAAAAGATCTGTGCACTGATTTTTCAAGGAAAAGGTTTTATAGTTTGGTGTTTCGAGCACATTTTTTCAAAGCTGCTTCTGTCTCTTTAGACTTTGTGTGTGTTTCTGATTAAACTCCTCTAAAAATTTACTCTAGGAAAAAGTTAACATAGGAAAGTAAAATAGCTTTAGCAGAGAGTAAAACCTACTGATTTTCTGTCTACATTTTGTTTTGGATAGGATAGTACTTCAAAGACTGGAATTAACTTTTCAAAATTTATCTTCACTGTATGCAGAGCTTCAAAATGAACACACTATTGTGCCCAGGGAAATCTTTAAATTGTTATACTTATAATCTACAATCTTTCCCATCAGTGAATCTTTTCAAAATTGATAGAGCCAGCGATTTAGCTCAGTGGCTCTGCTGCCTGCCTCAAAAGCACAAGGACCAGAGTTTGATCCCTGGTCAGAAAAAAAAGAATAAATTTTTCCAAATTTCAGAAACTATCACACAGGAAGTAACCTTTACAAGAGAGTGAACCCTTTAAAGATTTGGAGAATAATTTGCTAAAAGAACCTGTTATGGTTTAAATATAGGTGTCCCTCAAAGCCTCATGTAGTCATAGGCTTTTGGGAGGGGGCTAGATTATGAGTGTGATAACTGGATTAGTCCACTGGTTTAGCAGAGTTCTGGATGTGCGTAACGTGAAGGGTCTCCCTGGGCATGGGTGGTACCTTCCAGAAAGTTTGTAGCCTAAATGGAATGAAAAGGGAAAGCAAAGCTCACTTTTGACTGCTTCCTGCCTGCCACACTATAAACTATTTCTCCTCTGCCATGCTGTCCTGCCTTGATGCCAGCTACCTAGGAACTGACATCTCTACAAACTGGGAGGAGGTAAAATAAACCTTTCTTCTTTTAACTTATGGTTGTCAGCATTTTGCCCTAGCAAGGAGAAAAGTAACTGAAACAGCACAAACAAGGATTTGAGATTAATTTCTTTGACTTTTACCCAAAAAGTCTGAGTCTATAGTTTCAGTACCATCTTGTCCTTAAGTAGAATAGAGGTTCATGTCCAGAATATCATTTTCTAGTTGTGTTTGATTTTTATGAGAGCTTAGGAGCAATTACCCTAGAAATAGGAAAGAAACTCACAAGTAAATCCTTTCTTTGAAATTTTCTGTCCTTAGTATGGACATAACTGAATGCTTTCCATGTATCTGTGTTTGGAACATCAGGAGGATTGTTATGCAAAAGAACCAAAGCCTTGGAAATACAAAAAGAGTTTGATCTGAATTCAAATTATTTATGCCATGTATTAATCAGTTTCTCATTACTGTGACAAGATACTTTAGAAAAGCAACTTAATTATAGAAAGGTTTAGGCTGAGTTTGCATGTGTTGGGATCTAATTATATACCTAATTCTTAAAATTAACTTCCCACATATAATGTGTGTTCAAGAAAAAGTAATGAAATATGATAACTTACAGCTTACATACATAGTTTTCAAGCTCAACAGTAACTGCAGCAATTATTTACAACTTCAACAAAGTGTTTCTTTTTTCTGAGGTGTATTTTATCACCACCATCATCTAAAATTGCCAGTGCATATAATAAATAAGTGCATATAATAATAAAAAGCATGCTGAGCTCAGTTTTATTATTGCTTTTAACTTTTCTAAAGACAATGCACTGGCTCATCCCTGGGGACACAAATACTCATGAAAAGCAAGTCTCTAGCTTTAGTACTTATGCTGGTCTCATCTGTTTAATCTCAATCCTACATTCACTTTATCTGCAGTAAACCATTTATAATACTTCACAATTTATTTGTTTATGTGAAGTATCTGTCATCTCTTCTACTAGTTTATAATTCTATTCTCATGAGGGAATAAAATATAACCCTCTGTCCATCTGTATTTTTAGTGCACAGTAGAGTGCCTGGCCCATACTTGGCAGACAAGAAATATTTATAGACTAAAAAAGTAAAGGTTGTAGAAGAGTTTGTAAGAGTAATGCATTAAAGAAAACAGCACTTTGAGTCAGCAAATTTGTTCATAAAGATCTCTTGGTTGTATTACTTGCACAAGAGCTTGCAAGGCCTCTTAGTGTATAGTCATATATTCCCTTCAAAGAGGCAATCATCAGAATTCTTTTGGTTTTTATTTTTTATGAGTACCTGTTTGTGGTACATAATGCTTGCACTTCTTATAGGGATTTGGTACATGTGCATAAAACAGCTCAGTTTTCAATCCCTTGCCCTCCCTCTCCCTCCATCTCTTGAACCTCTTCTCATTTGACAAAAAGGCATACTGTATCTCTGTACTTCCTATTATCTGCCTTTTAGGTTGTTCTTTATATTTTGGGTTTCTCATGTGAGCGAAACCATGTGATATTTATCCTGCGTGTCTGATTTATTTCACTTAACATCATGGTCTCAGAGTGCATCTGTCTTCCTACACATGACTCAAGTTTATCCTTCTTTAGAAGAGGAGTACTCCACTGTGTATAAATACTCCACTTTTAAAATCCATTTATTTGTTCATGAACATGTAAGCTACTTCTAGGAATTAGCTATTATGAATTATAATGCTATAAATATGGTTATGCAGTATTAATGTAATATGATAATTTTAACTCTTTCAGGAAAAATATGTAGAAGAGGAATAGCTGGGATGAATGAAATTTCTAGCTTTTGTTTTCTAAGAAATCTCCATAGAGATATCCATAGTGGTTGTGCTAGTTTACACTCCTTACAATAATATAGTAGGATTTCATTTACCTGCAATTTTGTCAGCATTTGCTGTTATTTGATTTCTCGATAATGACCATTCTTTCTGGAGTAAGATAGAGTCTTAATGTTTTAAATTTTCATTTCTCTACTGACGAGCAATGTTGAACATTTCTTCATATATTTATTGGCTATTTATGCTTCTCATAAGAAGTGTCTATTCTTTTCACTTGCCCATGTTTTTGATTAGGTCATTTATTTTGGGGGTGGTCTATTTTTTAAATTCTTTATATATTCTAGGTATTAGTCCTCTGTCTGAGGAATAGTTGGCCACGTTTTCCCCCATTTTTTTAGGTTGTTTCTTCACTGTTTGTTTTTCTGTTCCTGTTTAGAAGCTTTTAAATTTGATATGATCCTATTTGTTGCTTCTTTGTACTATTTCTTAGGCCATCAGGGTTCCGTTCAGAAAGTCCTTGCCTATCCCTATGTCTTCATGAGTTTTACCTATTTTATCTTTCAACAGACTAAGTATTTCTGTTTTAACATTTAAATCTTTGAACCATTTTACTTTAGTTTAGTACCTGGTGAGTGATATGGGTCTAGATTCAGTCTTTTGCACATGGAGAGCCAATTTTCCCAGCACCATTTATGAAGGAGGTTGCTTTCCTCTAGTGTATGTTACTGGCCTCCTTGCCAAAGATCAAACAGCTGACTATGACAGCAGCTCTTTCTGCATGTTGTATTCTGTTCCACTGCTCCGTATGTCCATTTTTGTGTCAGTCCCATGCTGCTTTTGTCTCTGTAGCATTGTAATATGACTTAAAATCCAAGATTGTGATGCTGCCTGATTTGCCCTTGTCACCCAGGATTACCTTTGTTATTCTCTCTTCTAGTTCTGTATGAAGTTGAGGATTATTTGCCCCCATTGTATGAGGAATTTTATTGTGACTGCATTAAATCAGTTTTTTTTTTCTGTTTACTGGAACAGGTAAGATCATTAGAAATTCTGTTTCACTAAGAGAATTTTTGTTTTATCTTCTTTATTAAGTTTTACCCACATTGCCTTTGGTACCAGGGATCAAACTCAGGAACTTGCACTTGTGAGGCAGGCAGCGGCACCACTGAGCTAGATCCCCAGTCCCACACTGCCTTTTAAACAGAGGCAGAATGTCAACCTGAATACATGAGGGAATGCAGGGCGGTGGGCCCTGATATCCAGACACAAAGTGAAGCAAGATCTTTTTGTAACTTTAAGATTTGAAAATACAGCTTCTTCAGTGAAGAGTAAAATGCATAGAAGTCCTGGTCAGTAGAACAATGTCGCTCTTCACTGTCTCTCCTCAAATATCCACATGCATTTGAATTATTTTTAAATCACTCTATTTGTGGTGATTTGTTACAGCAATGGGAAAATTGTAGAGTGGGCCCTAAAACCAGTGTGTTCTAGTTTTCTTATGAGTGCTGTATGTCCTAAGATGTGGCTGTTCATCTGAAACAAAGTGGTTTATGGGGAATAAAATACAAAAACAAGCAACAACCAAAGAAGTTGAGTCTGGGCCTGGTAACTGTGAGCCCACAACTCAGCATGGTAGTGGGTAATCACCTTTCCCTTTGAGTTGCTGGAACTCAAAGATGCAGAGAGAGGGTAGGAGTCAGACTCCCCGCTGATTTCATCACCAGACCTTTGAGGAGAGCTTGGTTGGAGGTGGCAGAGGGCTATGATTTTGTAGCCACTGCTTTGAGCCATTTCAAATGCTGGGATGAATTGTGTTCCTCCAGAAGACAGGTTGTAGACCTAGTCACCAGTACCTGTAACCATGACCTTATTTGGAAGTAGGATTTT